GCCTTGTGATATTTCCCTAGTGATTGATAGACATTTCCTAAGCTTCCGTAACTACTTTCTTCCCCCTTTCTGTCACCAATTTCTTTAGCAACGCTTAGTTGTTTGCCTTGATATTCAATGGCTGTGTGATAATCCCCTAGTGATTCATAGGCTTCTCCTAAGTGTCCGTAACTGTTTCCTTCTCCCTGTCTGTCACCAATCTCTTTGGCAATGCTAAGACTTTGTTCATGATATTCAATGGCCTTCTGATATTCCCCTAGTGATTGATAAGCATTCCCTAAGTTTCCGTAAGAATTTCCTTCTCCCTTTCTGTTACCAATCTCTTTAGCAATGTTCACATCCGATTCATGATACTTAATAGCCTTGTGATATTCCCCTAGTGAGTGATAGGCATTTCCTAAGTTCCCGTAAGCATTTCCTTCTCTGCGTCTGTCACCAATCTCTTTAGCAATGCTTAAACTCTTTTCATGATATTGAATGGCCTTGTGATATTCTCCCAGAGACTGATAGACATTTCCTAAGTTTCCGTAAGCATTTATCTCTCCCTGTCTGTCGCCGATCTCTTTAGCAATGMTTAGACTTTCTTCTTGATATTGAATAGCCTTTTGATATTCTCCCAGAGACTCATAGGTATTTCCTAAGTTTCCGTAGCTTCCTCCTTTTCCCAGTCTGTCATTATTCTCTTTTTCAATAGTTAGACTCCGTTCAACATATTCAATGGCCTTGYGATATTCCCCTAGAGAATCATAGGCATTTCCTAAGTTTTCGTACGCATTCCCTTGTACTTTTCTGTCACCAATCTCTTTAGCAATGCTTAGGCTCCGTTCATGATATTCGATGGCCTTSCGATATTCCCCTAATAAGTCATAGTCACATCCTAAGCTTCCGTAAGTTATTCCTTCTCCCTCTCTGTCACCAATCTCTTTAGCAATTCTTAGACACCTTTCATGATATTCAATAGACTTTTGATATTCCCCTAGTGATTGATAGGCATTTCCTATGTTTCTATAACTATTTCCTTCTCCGTCTTTATCACCAATGTGTTGGGCAATGCTCAGACTCTTTTCAAGATATTCAATGGCCTTGCGATATTCCCCTAGTGAGTGATAGGCATTTCCTAAGTTTCCGTAAGCATTTAGTTCTTCCTGTCTGTCACCAATTTCTTTAGTAATGCTTAGACTTCCTTCATAATGTTCAATGGCCTTGTGATATTCTTCCAGAGATTTATAGGTATTTCCTAGGCTTCTATCACTGCTTCCTTCTGCCTGTCTATCACCAATCTCTTTAGCAATACGTAGACTCTGTTCATGATATTCAACGGCTTTGCGATATTCCCCGAGTGACTGATAGGCATTTCCTAAGTTTTCGTAACTGATTCCTTCTCCCGGTCTGTTACCAGTCTCTTTTTCAATGCTAAGACTTCGTTCATGATATTCGATGGCCTTGTGATACTCCCCTAGTGATTGATAGGCATTTCCTAAGTTTCCGTAACTGCTTCCTTCTCCCTGCTTGTCGCCAATCTCTTTATCAATACTTAGACTTCGTTCATGATATTCGATGGCCTTGTGATATTCCCCTAGTAATTGATAGTCATTTCCTAAATCTCCGAAACTGTTTCCTTCTGCGTGTCTGTCACCAATCTCTTTAGCAATACGTAGACTCTGTTCATGATATTCAACGGCTTTGCGATATTCTCCTAGTGATTGATAGGCATCTCCTAAGCTTTCGTAACTGGTTGCTTCTCCCGGTTTGTTACCAATCTCTTTTTCAATATTTAGACTTCGTTCATGATATTCAATGGCCTTGTGATATTCCTCTAGTGATTGATAGGYATTTCCTAAGTTTCCGCAGGCATTCCCTTGTCCGTGTACGTCACCAATCTCTTTAGCAATGCTAAGGCTCTTTTCAAGATATTCGATGGCTTTGCGATATTCCCCTAGTGAGTCATAGGCATTTCCCAAGGTATCGTAACTGCTTCCTTCTCCCTGCTTGTTACCAATCTCTTTTTCAATATTTAGACTTCGTTCATGATATTCAATGGCCTTGTGATATTCCTCTAGTGAGTAATAGGCATTTCCTAAGTTTCCGTATGCATTCCCTTGTCCGCGTCTGTCACCAATCTCTTTAGCAATGCTAAGGCTCTTTTCATGATATTCAATGGCCTTGTCGTATTCCCCTAGTAATTGATAGGCATTTCCTAAGTTTCCGTAAGCATTTAGTTCTTCCTGTTTGTCACCAATTTCTTTAGCAATGCTTAGACTTCCTTCATAATGTTGAATGGCCTTGTGATATTCTTCTAGAGACTGATAAGTATTTCCTAGGTTTCTGTCACTTCTTCCTTCTGCGTGTCTGTCACCAATCTCTTTAGCAATACGTAGACTCTGTTCATGATATTCAACGGCTTTGCGATATTCCCCGAGTGACTGATAGGCATTTCCTAAGCTTTCGTAACTGATTCCTTCTCCTGGTCTGTTACCAATCTCTTTTTCAATGCTAAGACTCTTTTCGTGATATTCAATGCCTTTGTGATACTGCCCTAGTGATTGATAGGCATTTCCTAACATAAAGTAAGCATTTTTTTCTTCCTGTTTGTCACCAGTCTCTTTAGCAATGCTTATTTTTTGCTCAAGATTTTCAATTTGCTTGTTAAAGTCAGCCATCGATTGATCAGTATTCTCCATTGGTTGACTTTCTTTTTTATGAATTTTTGTGATCCACGGGGACTTGAATTAAAGAAACAAAACACAATGTTTAATGACATATAATTGTCATGCATTAAATGATATTTATCTCTTATGCGCCAACTCACTAATCCTTTTCGCATTGGGTGAGGAGGGGGGGCGGGGGCAAAATGGTAACAAAATGGCGTCTGCCGGTTCGTCACAAAATAATCCTTGATTGAAATATCCATAAGAAGTCTCTAGTTCAACACTTAACCAAAAGTGAAAGAGCTCTGTAGAGCATTACCAATTGATTATCAGTGGTACAATGTTAAGTAACAATTCACGTAAGAACTAGGGCACTCTCTATTGTTCTGCGGCAAAAAGTTGCAACTTCCCTTGGTTTTCATCACACTGATTATATATCAACCTATTCGTAACACATTTTTAAAATAAAATGTGGATAAACTATGTTTTGAAACAAAGTTTCCTTTGTATTAAAAGATCTTATCCAATCATAAGCATTCAAAACACTGCAATAACCAAAAATGCTTGTAATTTGCTAGAATTGCTATTGTAGTATGGACCAATGAGATGGATGGATTATTAGCACCTTCTTATTGCATTCCATTGCCGTTTGCTTCCCGACTTTGCAAAGGATGGGGTTTTTGACGTTTTCGAAAATGTCATTCAAATTCCTTACCCTTGGCAAAATGTCATGTCAAAACTATCAAAAACACCAACCTCGTCATTAAAAATACTCAAAAAAGTATCCCCTATAGAATAAAGAGAATAGAGATAAATAGGGACTGGAAGTCAAATTCCTGTTTTCATGTGTGCGCTATCTATTCATAGACTCATTGTAACCGACTTGGCGCTCTTAGATCGTCTTATTGATTTCCCCCGCAGGGGCCAAAACACGAGGAAGCATCTTAATACCACAGGTAACCCGCATTTTGCTAAGAGCGCGCGCCGATAACAACCTCGTTCCCAGGGCTACTCTGCTCGCTTTTYTCAAAATGGCGGACGCAGAGTAGCCCTGGGAACGAGGTTGGCGCCGATAACAATGACTAGTGCGCATTTGCTCATTTGCTTCTCGCAAGCAATAGTTGGGCGGCCTATGGAAGAACTCCACCCCCCCTCCCTACCTACTTGATATATTTTGCATTATGTTAATCGAATTTATCACTGCCAAATTAAATAAATAGAGGATATTACATGGCCGCGCGGAGATACGCTTTTTTCAACACAAAAAGATAAAATTCGTATCTCCAAGTGACCATGTAATATTCTGTTTATCATATAAGTAAATATGAAAGCAAATTATGTCGTAAAATACCTTTTTTCTTACTTCCACCATATAGAGAAACCTCGAATGTGCATGTGTTATTTTCACTAGTGAAAATATCAATTTTACGTAATGGAGAAATATAGATATTTCATAGATAATTATATGATAAGTAAAAAATACATGATTACTTTATAATTTTGCGGTCATTTCAATTTATCGCATTATAAATTAAGCTGCCTATGGCAACACAAAAATTTCTTATAATAATCCCGGGGGGGAGGGGGGGTTACTCCCCCGAAACTTGGGTGGGGGTGTGCCGCTGGGACCTCAAAACCCTGACCCTGTTCCAGAGTGAAATCGCTGAAAACTATACCCTGTTCCAGAGTAAAATCGCTGAAAACGATATTCTGTTCCAGAGCAAAATCCTGCACTAGCTTGCGTGTAGACCGAATTTTTACCCCATGAATTTTTATCCAGCATCAATAATTCCGGAATCAACCCTGACCCTGTTCCAGAGAAAATTTGTTCAAATCGATACCCTGATGTTCCAGAGTAAAATCGCTAAAAACGATACCCAGTTCCAGAGTAAAATCGCTGAAAACGATACCCTGGTTGGCGGCATGCGTCCCCGTATAGCGAATATAGGGGAGTAACCCCCCGGGATAATAATTACTTAACAAATAGAATTTTAAGCAAACGATTTATGAATGTTTTTTTTTAACGTTAAAATCTTATTATTTTATATTTCGGTTCTGGGTATAAACCACGGACAGTTTTATGTAACATTTGCGATTGTAGTTCAGTGGAGTTTCGATCCTATGGTCGTTTCATGTTCGATATAATTTCATTGATTTGTTTCTATCTTTTTTATATCTTAATACTTTTCCCAGCAATTCTATTTAGAATGTGCACTCAGAGACGATGAATTACATATCTTCAAAAGGACATCAATCAACAGAATCCTTCACTTATCACGATGCAAATGGTACTCACTATGGATCTAGTTCCAAAACACCTATTTCCCTTTTCAAAATACAATTCTCTGACCAATATAACGGGGGAAGATTAGTGAAAACATGCCTAGTATTTGTAACACAGTAACTTATTTCTTGCTAATTACTTCAGATTGTTTCTTTCCTATGGCTTTACGGAAACACAAACAAATATTAATTTTCAAACACGGAAATACTGTGCTGTAGACTGGCGCTTTTACCTTACTTGAGGCAGTCTAAAGTCACTTTTAAAATGTAAAACAGGTCTGTTTCTTGCCCTTTTCGCTGTACCGTAGTAGAAGATCACAAATTGCTTTTCTTTACTCTACATAAAACATCGTTTAGGCCCACATTCGATGTTTTAAAAGGAGAGGCAAATTAGACATAAAATGGCGTGTCGAAAGTCGTCYCGAAAGTCGTCTGATGGTCGTCTGATGGGCTGATGATATAATATCAGGTGACACCCACAGGCAGCCCATCTTTYAAATGCTGTTGTTATTTTACATCGACTTCTTTAGTTTCCTTGTTTTTTGKKTTTTTTTTGTATTGTTGTTCATTTTTTTTCTTTTTCAAGAAAAATACATATACAATATATATACAAATATGTAATCGTACAAATTGACGAGATTGTTGCTGTTGCTATATTCATTCATTTTTTCCCTTCGTTTTAACTATTTTCTTATTTTGTTATTTTCTGCTACTATTTGACTAAAAGCACTCATTCCCCATTGTGAGGCTATGATGTCATAGTCCTAATGCGCATGTGTGCGAAAAGGAAACAAATATGGCTGCCCGATGAACATTTTTTCGTTACATTGTTTATAGATTTGGYTAAAAACTCCAATTTTTTTGTCCCTTCTGTGATCTTTTAGGAATACTGATCTTCACAAGTTAGATTTTTCTACGTTCTGTGGAAATTTCAAGTGGGTTTGCCCTTGCTGTGCTGAGTTCACGAGCCAAGAATATTGTCTTACCGTGATCTGACGTTTGGTGTTGGACTTGTTTTCGTGTTAATCAGCTTCGTTTTTTTGGATTTTATTCGCCATGTTCAGAATATCTATTCCTTTTCGATCRTTGAGGACATCAGGAGGAAATATCAATGTTTTTAAAGGTTTGTAGAGTTATATTTAGCTTTTATCGTCAGTTATATCATTGTCAATTAAAATGTGTCTTTTGAATATACAATCAGTGAAATGGCGTGGGTACACTATTTTGAATCAGAAACATCAATTGATTCTACAGCTTCATTTTCCTTTATTTAGTGTTTTCGCTTAAAGTTAATCTACCATTTTATTTTSRTTGGATATTCTGTGAAATGTGAGTGTTACGATAAAGTTTTGCGTGATTTTCCACTCRAATAAGCGTTCCTAACTTTCTTTGTTGTTGTCAATGAATTTTRRMTCTCTCRMRAGAAACTGCCAAAAGCTCGGCTTCYAAACGAAGTACAAACTCTCTTTAATTCCTAATGAACTCTTTTTAGTTATTATTGTACTGTAGTATGAGTAATATCGACGAGAAAATTGTGTCAGGCACATTTAAACCTATCATTTACAAGTATTGCATAACATTTTAACTAATTTTTGTTAAATTCAACCTTAYATTCAGTTGCTTGTAAACATGAATACAGATGTGAAATGTCAGTGTTCAGTAAGTTAGATTTGCATGTATAATATATAGACATTTCCTAAATGTGGGAACCTCTCTGCAATGTTTGAAATGTATGTATCAGCCATTCTGARATTCARTAAGGGACTGGTTCCTAGTCACAAACTTGAYGGACTTTGAAACWATCAAGAAACAAATTCCATACTAAAATCAGAATAGTTGCAAAGTTTTAGAATAAGTGTTTAGAATAAATGAAAATCCACAACAAACAAAATATGTAGGTTTTGAGCAGCTTCCTCAATAACCATACATTAATCTCTCTTATTTTTKCAATTTTCAAAAAATACTCAGTGAGTATTCAACCAAATAGGCTCAAAATTGAAAATAACACAGAATTAGACTACTTTCATGCTACTTCTAAGTCTCCTTTCCAATTTTGGAACTAGGACAATGGGCAATGTGCCGTGGCACCATTTTGTGCAGAAAAGAATTCATGATAATAGTTTTAGTCCCCATACTTTTTTTATGTCYGCTGAAACATTCCTCCTAACCAGTTTTAAGCTAAAATAGAGGTATTTTTGCCATTTTTGAAAAGAAAATGTACGGGCTATGAAAGCTGCTGTACAAAATGACGTTGCTGCACATTGCATGCCTATTGTGCTAAAACCTTGAACAGGGATGTGGACAATAACAAGACAAGAATGGGACATAACAACTGGTTAATGCTGAAATATGATTAATTCATGTACATGTAATTGCAGGTTCTACATGTACATCAAATCTCATATCTAGACCACTACTTAGAAAGATTCATGTAATTTCAACAAATCAACTAAGACCCTACGTATTATATGGATATCGATGCACCCACCCTGCTTCAAATGTAATTGACAATAGAAATGGAAGAAATATGAGTAGTACATCAGGGGGAGGCAAGGATAGAGGTGGAAAGAATCCATGGTGTTGTCCTAAATGTGGAAATCCATGCAGTGCAATTGAAGGTTTGTACAATTAACTGTAGATCAACAAGTAACAGTTGTGAAAAAAAGATAATTTTTAACCCTGTAAAAATGCAGATGAAACAACTTACTCAACTCAACTTACTCATTTCAATGTTTTAAAATCCTTCCTGGAGGATTAACGTCCAAGACGACAGTAAGTTGTTCACCTATTTTTTTATGGTGTTAAAACATTTATCTCTAGTCTATGCACGACTGTTTCTTTAGAAACGCCAACTCAGCTCATACTAGTTTACAGCTTGTTTCCGCCATTTAAAGTAGATCATTGTTTAAATGTCTACTTTAGTTTTTTGTTTMAAAAAATTGATGATTGATTTTCAATTGATGGCAAGTGAAGAAAACAACTTAAAAATCTTAAACTTAAAAATTATTATTGTCATCCCTTTATGCTCCATGAATGAATTTTGTAAAAACTAATAGAAGGAAATGGAGGGGGAAATCAGAATGGATATGTGTAGTTGAGGTCACCTCATTTTCCTTTTATGAAAAGCCTGAAATATGACTCATTAAAGTTACATGTATGCTAGCTGACCATGGTCTTAAAAAAACATTAGATAGAAATGTGTTCCTAAGGGATATTAACTTTGAAACAATTTTCCAATAATATATGACAAATCTAAAACATGACTGCATTGGRTGCTGGTTGACCATTGCTCTGTAATTYCMARSYWAWYCYTTTTTTAAATGTTTTCAGCTTCAACCCGATTTGTCCAATGTGACAAGTGCAGTCACTTCTTTCTTATCCTCTCTGAATCTGACTCCAAACGCTATATAAAATATGAAGGGAAAGGAGCAGCCAATGACAACGACAAGCAGAATAAACGACGGAAACCGCCACCTCCACCCACAAAGGTATGTGTAATGTTCATAGAAATACGGTATTTAAATAAAACCCTTGCATTTCAGGGGAATGCAGGTCTGACTGGATGGTAAATCAATGAGTTCTGATTCCCAAGAGGGCAAAAATCTCCATGGTTTTGGTTTTAAACTAGTACATGTATTCACCCTTTATACATTTTGAACATATTATATTATATACTAGATTTCTATGGTAAAATCACGGGTAGCCCAAAGTCTTAACTAGAATGATATAAGAGAATGTATGTGAGTCTAAATTTCACTTTAACTTGCTGTGTGGATTATTATAATAGCTACCAGTAATCTTGAAATTTAATAATATATATTTATGCTATAAATCGACTGTTTACATAGACTCGCATACATTCTCTTATATATCAAGTAATGTGCTTGGGCTACCTGTGGTGAAATTACTATTAACCTCCATTCTTTGGTTTGATCAATAAACTAAAACAGAATATCATTGGTGTTTTTTTTTATGATTGCAGATATTTGATTACCTGGATAAATAYGTGATWGGTCAAGATTTTGCCAAAAAGGTTCTATCAGTAGCTGTGTACAACCACTACAAAAGACTGTCTGTCAATCTTTCATCATCATCATCACAATCAACGTCAACAGAAGTCAAACCTGTTCCTCTTACGCGGCCATTCCCAGGCTCCCCTCATGGTATGGTTTGAACTTTGTCTTCAACTATTTTATCTAATACAGCATCATTACCTAATCTGTTTGATTGCATATTGCCTACGCAATAATTCTGATATTTCCTTATAATGATAATTGTTTGCRAATTGAATTTTGGAAGTGCATGACATTGGACTTTTGTTGTTGGCAATAYTCAAAATTTTTCTATTTCATGATTTATTATCAATGGCATTACATGTACTATAGAGTGCACGCCAAAAAAGCGTGAAACAATTCTTAACTATCAACATCTAATAAGATTWAGTTATCAACTAACTAAGAATTCACTGGGGCATGAACACAATGCCAGAAAGRAAACTTGTCTTTGTTTATGCCTCACTAAATTCTTAGTTAGTTGATAACTAAATCTTATTAGGCACTAATTACTTAAGAATTGTTTCATGCTTATGTGGCGTGCACTCTATTTAGTGATTATATCATTTTAGAATATAATTACCTATTGATATTTTTACGGTAAATTTTATAATTCTTCCTTTTGTAATTAACTTAGCTTAACACTTAATTAATTTAAGAATTTTTATAGTTTTTAATCTTACGTATTATATAGTATTTTAATAGTAATTTTATATATATATTTAGTAATTTAGGGAGGGCCACAAGTTTGTTAGTTTTTACTATTATGTGTTACCCTCAAGAAATAAAGTCTTTATTATTATTATTATTATATATTATAGTGATGATTGCTTGTGTATTTTTATACACAGTAGATTTTCATCAACATCATTTTCACTATACATTGTACATGTTGGTAGATTCATAGCTTTCTCATGATTTATACTGATACATGACTGTTTTTTCATACTACCTAGTACTATTCTCCTTCACAGCCTCCCCTTCTTGGGAGAGACAGGAAGCCTGATAAAAGGGGAGTTGTGAAGGAGACTAACTTCACAGGGTTCTCAGTAGAATAAAAATAGCAGAAAGCTGTTCTAGCAAAAGTAGCCAGAGGTTCTGCTGTGTTCTATTAACAAGAAAACTGCAAATAATTTTGTCAAATTACCAGTGATTAACAAAGCAATAAGCTGCAATGTTCATTGGCTACAATTAGAATATATACAATATGAGCGGGCGATCTGTATGAGGATTTAAAACAGCGAGCTGAAAGCGAGCTGTTTTAAACCTCATACAGATCGCACGCGAATATTGTATATTACTTATGAAACGTTAAGGTAAATTAGCTCAGGTTTTAAAGAAACTTTTGAAAAAAAATTCAATCTGAGAAAATCAGAGTAAAAGTTTATGCAAATGAACAAGAAATCTGTATGTAATATACAACTCTCTTCATGGGCTATGATTTCTATTGTGTTTTGCCTTATGAATATTAATGAGTTTTATAATTACTAATAAAAATCTGAGCWGAAGTGTTCTATTAACAAGAAAACTGCAAATAATTTTGTCAAATTACCAGTGATTAACAAATCAATAAGCTGCAATGTTCATTGGCTACAATTAGAACACTGTACACCAACAAAGACACCACCCTTTTGTCTCAGTTTTGTAATTACTAATAAAAGTCTGAGCAGAAGACCTTTATAGGCGGCAATTGAGTACATGTAGTTTTACAGCCCATAGAGGTCAGATGTGAATATTAGATATTAGATATTATGTACTTTTTGACTGAGTGGGAGGGCCGTGCGGGAAAAGATTTGGCTCGAGGTTATGCAGTACAGACCGCCGAGCGCAGCGAGGTCCGTACAAATGACCGAGAGCCAAATATTTTCCCACACGGCCCGACCTAACTCAGTCAATAAGCATTTTATCATATGACAGCGTACAAATGACCGAGAGCCAAATATTTTCCCGTACGGCCCGACCTAACTCAGTCAATAAGCATTTTATCATATGACAGCGTTTTTTAATGTAAAAAGATAAATAAAAGCGCGCGGAACTTCTAGCCGGGAAAATACGGGTTTGTACGGACCTGTCGCGAAAAGGCGTACGGACCCCATCACGTGACCATTTTCCAAAGGTTTCAGTGAGAGCTCGCGTAGGGCCGAAATACGGTTCATATGATAATATTAAATATTAGTGAGATGTAATAATTCCTTAAATCAAATTCCAACATAAGCTAAAGCAAATTTTGCTAAAAATGTCAAGACAAAATATCTTTTTTAAAAGAAAATCGAAGTTAAAGTCGCATGTACATGTACATGTAAATCAGGACAAATCTCTTGATCAAATCAAGTTACGGCAATGATTTTCCATTGTGTTTACCTTATGAATTATTAATGAAWTTTATTTGATAAGTATCTCATGAGATGTAMTCCATGTTATTTACAATGTATACTGCATGTTTTTTTAAGAACTTCAGCTAGTGATGGCTCAGGGGGGCACCCTCAACTCCCCTCTTGGTGCAAGTGGGGTCCAGTCCTCTGGACAATCAAGAGAAAGTAGTGGAAGTGAGATACTGGAATCTGAAAGGGACAAAATTACCCTGGACAAGAGTAACATATTACTTTTGGGACCYACTGGATCTGGTAAGTGATCCTGATACTATTGAAACAATAGAGTATGCAYGTAGTTGAATTGAGGGCATTATGCTGTGATAGTTGCTCGAGGAAACTGGATGTTGCGAAAAACAAATACCGTATTTACCCATGTATATGAAGACATATGCGACAATGAATTTTTGAGAAACTTTTTGTTTTGAAGTGATGCTTATTGTTTAATATTGTCCAGGTAAAACCCTGTTAGCACAGACCATTGCCAGRTGTCTGGACGTCCCATTTGCCATATGTGACTGTACTGCATTGACACAAGCAGGTTATGTTGGAGAAGATATTGAGTCAGTCATTGCCAAACTTTTACAGGTAATAATAATTATAATAATACTTAAAGGGACATCTTCCACCAGCATGAGCTTATTGCTCATGTTTGAAAATGAAAATACATCTTAATATAAGCAAAAACTTTCTCTTCATTATCCCTTTATACTATATGAATGGAGATACTGTAAGATTGGACCTTTAAACYGATGGATGGAAACGGATTGCAAATGGATATTCRAARTCACCTCATTTTCCATATATGAAAAATCTTAAACATGACTGCATTGAATGTTGGTGGACCATGTCCCTTTAATACTAGTAATAGTAGAGGACTTTTACCAGTTACCTGTAAATGTTACATTGTATATACTTGACTCTTAATAATAGTTAATACTTTTAATAGGCAATGACTTTTACCAGTTGCTTGGAAATGCTATACTATGTCTAACTCAGAATTATCCATAATACATATCAATTATCAAGTGTAAAGTGAAGTCTACAATCTTGGCCAAAAGCCTTGAAACTTTCAAATAAGTTTTGTTTGTTCATCCATATTTCTCCTGCCTAAACCCCTTCTCCCTCTTTCATGTTGTAGTCGAGTGATAACACTGTATCATTGGGAGGGTTTGGTTACGAGTTTAGATTGCCAGATGATCAATACCATTTAAATTAACACCAAAGCCCAAAAAGTCCCAAGGGTTTTGTCCAAGATTGTAGTTTTACTTTGTGCTGGCAACGTCGTATATTATGGTGAATTTTCGTGTGTCTTTGTGTATGAAATTTGTGCAAGGGCTCTCGGGAAAACATGAATCTTTAACCAACCCAGCCAGCAGTCGTTTAGAAAGAAGTTTTTGATGTAATGACTGAAACAGGAAATKATAACTTTAATTTCCAGGAAGCAGGCAATAATGTGGAGAAGGCACAACAAGGAATTGTATTTTTGGATGAAGTCGACAAAATTGGTGCTGTGCCAGGAGTTCATAATTTRCGAGATGTTGGAGGTGAAGGAGTACAACAGGTAGAGCATATATTCATTTATTTTATTACCTGATTTTATGTAATATATAAAATATKMGCGKSMGACCTTTATGGGCATATAAARCTAAGCCCATAAAGGTCGGACGCGAATATTTTATATTTCTTATCAAATTYYAACATAAGCWGAAGCATATTTCTCAAAAAWAAAWYCYTYMARRWWAAAWTTYMWTTKKAA